AATCTAGCCTTTAAATAGGCTTTACAAGATAATATTATCTAAAAAGATAACTACCCAATCTTATCTTATCTAATTTAAATGATAACAACCTAAAAAAAATAAATAACTTAAACTTCCTAAAATATAGAGATAATGGCTAAATAATAGGATATAATTTCCAACAATCCCTCCCTTAAACTGAAAGTCTTCAGACTTTAGTTTAAAGAAATCTGGATAACACTATATCTGCAGATCTGCAATCCAGAATCTGCAGGCCCTCCCTCAAACTGAATTCTGCATGCTGCAAACACCAAGTAACTCTCTCAATTTTGAAAAAGCTGCTACTTTGAGGGGTTTTGTGAATATATCAGCCACTTGATCTTCTGTTCTGCAATAAATTAACTCAATTGTTCCATCTTCTACCAAGTTGCGCAAGAAATGATACCTCACATGTATATGCTTGCTTCTCCCATGCAAAACTGGATTTTTAGAAAGCTTGATAGCTGAACTGTTATCACAATAAATTGAAGTGGCCTCATGTTGATTTAGCTCAAGTTCTTCCATAATTCTTCTCAACCAAATAGCTTGACAAGCACAAGAAGTTGCTGCCACATATTCCGCTTTTGTTGTGGAAAAAGTCACAATGGGTTGCTTCTTTGAAGACCATGAAATTGCACCAGATCCCAGCATAAAAACAAACCCAGAAGTGCTTTTTCTGTCATCCAGATCTCCAGCATAATCACTGTCTGTAAAACCTGCGAGATGTGTCTGGTCACCCTTCTTGTAGAATAGCCCAAAATCTGCAGTTCCACATAAATACCTGAGCATTCTTTTAGCAGTTTGCAAGCGCAACTCCTTTGGATGCTCCATATATCTGCTAATCAAACTTACACCATGCATTATATCTGGTCTTGTTGCTGTCAGATACATCAGACTTCCAACAATCTGCTTGTACAGTTTGCTGTCCACAGATCTGCCTCCTGGATCTTTCACGAGCTTTACACCTTTATCAACTGGTGTAGTGACAGAATTGCAGTTCTTCATTTGAAATCTGTCCAGAACTTCCTGCACATATTTTTTCTGACAAACAAAAATTCCAGAATCTGATTGTACTACTTCCAGACCAAGAAAATAATGCAACAAACCCAAATCTGTCATTTCAAATTCAAGCTTCATGGACTACTTGAACTTTTCCAACATGTCAAAATCATTCCCAGTATAAATTAAATCATCAACATATAAGCATACTATAATCAATTTACCTCCATCTCCAAATTTGATGTAAAGTGTATGCTCATAAGAGCACTTTTGAAAACCTTCCTTCAAAAAATAAGCATCAATTTGACTATACCAAGCTCTAGGTGCTTGTTTTAGTCCATATAATGCTTTCTTCAATCTGTAAACCTTATGCTCAGAACCAGATTTCACATAACCAGGAGGTTGATCAATAAATATCTGTTCTTGCAGATTTCCATGCAAGAAGGCAGATTTCACATCAAGCTGATAGATCGACCATGAGTTCTGTGCTGCCAATGCAATCACCAATCTGATG